AGTCTCATACAGTCGCCTACGCAGCTCCTTAGACAGGGCGTGACCACCTGAGCTCATCCCTGTCCACATTGAAGTCCCTCTTAATATTTCCTTCGCTGCACTGCCTATGGTGAATCAAGGTGACGTCTAAATAATTTGCCTATTGTTGAGGCCCTTCCCTGAGCTCTGGTTGCTTGATTGTGAGTTGCTCAGCACATGGGCTGTCCTTAGGTTCTCAGAAGGGCCTAGTACGCCATGGACGCTATCACAAACTCCTACGACTACTAATCTTCCTGTCTGTGACTTGTATGTTTAATTAATATTTGTACAGACGTTAGTGATTTTTAGACATTGGGGCACATTCACTTCTGTATATATTGTGTGTGCAAAGATGGAGATTGCAAGGGGCTGTAACATAGCACAAATGCAGGCAAATATGTAGGTGCTGTTACAGTGACTTGGGACACTTAATGAATTTGAATATATTTTTCTCCTTTCCAGGTGTTCCAACCCATCCCATTTAGTCCACTGGGATTTTACCCGGTGTTAGAGTCCAGTATTGGCCCTGGAATTCCAGCTTTCAGCCATATCCTGCTGTCATTGTGGTCACCTGCATGTACACATGCCATGCTGAGCTAAGGGGTGTGTAGAGCATTTCAATAGTTCCATGATGGATTCCCTGGGTCATTTATTACCCTCTTTGCTCGTGGAGACACATGGAACTGTTGGGGTTTGTTTTAGTAAATGTGGGCCCAATGAGCGCTTGAAACACCAGCCCTTGGAACAGCAGGTTCCACTAGGCTCCCTAGACTGGTTACCTCCTTCTCAGTTAGCAATTTTACCTTATGTGACTTATATTTTGCTCTAACTACATGCCTAACTCCTGCTCTGGGTCTGCCAAAAATTCTGTTCTCAGTGCCTCTTGGAAAGAAAATGGTGACTGTACTGTTCACCTTGGGGTTTCCTTAGCCCTGGTCTACACTAGGGGGAGGGATCCCTCTAAGTTACGCAACTTCAGCTACGTACTTAGATCTGCTTACCGCGGTGTCTTCACCGCAGTGAGTCGACTGCTGCCGCTCCCCCGTCGACTCCGCCTGCGCCTCTCGCGGAGCCGGAGTACAGGAGTCGACGGGAGAGCGCTCGGGGGTCAATTTATCACGTCTAGACTAGACGTGATAAATCGATCCCCGCTGGATCGATCGCTGCCCGATCCTTAGTGTATAATGTTGAGAATAGCTTCCCGGTTCATCTCGATTCTCATGGCCTTCACTAAAGCGGCACAAACAGTGCTTTTCCCACAGAAAAAGGCCACATTTTAATCCTTTTGATGCATGCTGAGTTTACGTACTATGGTTCTCAAGACTGTTTCACCAAGATGGCTCTTTTCATCAGTATGTTGTTTTAAGCATCTTACTCTTTGGTCGAGGCTAATGGGGCATATAAGGACACAGGCATTTTCATCCACTTTATAATGAAAACATTCTGGTGCAGATTTATGGCCAGAGTTTTAAAAATGTTCAACACCCATTGGCTCCCACTGGGACATTCCACGTTCCTTGTTCTCAGTGGGAGCTGCTGGGCACTTTTGAAAATCTGGCCCTTAGAGTCAGATTTTTAATCATATTTATATGCCTAAAGATGCAGGTAGACACCTATTGATATTTTTCAAACTCGCCTGGTGCCTAGCTCCCATTGCAATCAAGGAGAGTTAGGCACCTAGGGCTAGTTACACAAGGGGTTTAGGCAACTACGTCCAACATTTAGATACTCAAAACCTTTCCTCAGCTGCCACCTAACCCTGTATGCACCTGAATGTCTGTTGGTGGGCATGTGCAAAGCCATCTAAGTCAAGCTGCCAGGTGCCTATCTCACACCTAAGCCCCATAGGATTCATGAATTTGGCAATTCCCCTGCCTGTCTTGCCTGCAGGGGTCCACTCCAGTAGGTGTGCTCAGAGGTGCCCACAAAGGGCATCTACCAGATCAGGCCCCACACAATGTGGGGGTGCTGCCCCCTCCTTTTCAGCCAATAGCTCCCTGGTGAAGGCACTCACCTGGGATTTGGGAGACCCTCCTCTACCTGACCTGGTGCAGGGACTTGAACCTTGATCTCTTCTATCACCCATGACTTCCCTACCCACTGGGCTAGCAGGTCTTCTAGGGTGCAGCTTTCTCAAGCTTTCCTGTTGATGATGGGCCACGTTATATAAGTACTGAAATAGTCAGTGGAGTAGGAACTTGAGCCCAGGCTGCCCCTCTTAGATGATGCCCTAGCCACTAGGCTAGAAAGTCATTCACATGCTTTCTCTGGCCCAGTGAATGTTTAGGCACCTAAATACCTTTAAAAGTCTGGCCTTTAGTGTCTGCTGTGTTCGCGTTTTTCATGCCTAACTCAATGGGAAATCACATCATTGCCAAGCCGGATGGGCCTCAAAATCAACTCATAGCAATTTTAAAAACACGGACTCATTGCTTGAGGTCCTGCTGATCCCTTCCATGCTGGGTTTTTAAGCTTTCTTAAAGGACCAAGCAAGCCAGGTTTACTGTGTTTTGCCCTGGATATCGTCATGTCTGGGTGAATGCTTTACCCAGACTGCTAACTTTGAACACCTTGTATGGACGAGAGCAGAATGTGGAACCAGTGTGAGGGACTGGCGTTTCATAGACCCACAGGGTTAGACGGGGCCGCAAGGGTCATCTATTCTAAGCCCCTGCCAAGATGCAGGATTTGTTGAGTTCAGAACATCCAAGACAGGTGACTATCCAGCCTCCTTTTGAAAACTTCCAGTGAAGGCGCATCCATCCTAGGCGGTCTGGTCAGTTGTCCTACTGTCCGTATAGTTATAAGGTTTTCCTGAGATTTAATCCAAATCAGCTGTGCTGTACTTTGAACCCATTGCCTCTTGTCCTGCCCTTTGTGGCAAGATTGAGCAACTTTTCTCCATCTTTTTTATTGCAGCCTCTCAAATATTTGAAGACAGCTATCACATCTCCCCCTTGTTCTCCTCTTTTCCAAACTAAACATATTCAGTTCCTTCAGCCTTTGCTCATATGGCTGCATTCCATCCCTTTGATCATCTTTGTCACTCGCCTTTGGATCCTTTCCAGTTTCTTTACATCCTTTCTATCCATTGGTGACCAAAATTGGACACACTACTCCAGCTGAGGCCTAACCAGCGCCGAGTAGAGCAGTACTATCGCCTGCCATGGCTTGCATGCTCCGCCTCTGTTATTGCAACCCAGAATTGCATTTGCTTTTTTTGTACCAGCATCACACTGTTAACTCATGTTGAAGTTGTGATCCACCACAACTCCCAGATCCTTCTCAGCAGTGCTGCTGCCAAGCCATTATCCCCCATGCTGTATTTGTGCACTGGGTTTTTCATGCCTAAGTGTAGCACCTTACTTTTGTCTTTGTTGCATTTCATTTTGTTGTCTACAGCGCAGTTCTTCAATTTATCAAGCTCCCTTTGAATTTGAGCTCTGTCCTCCAAAATGTTTGAACCTCCCACCCCCAGCTTTGTGTCATCTGCAGATTTGATCAGTATGCTCTCTATTCCTAAGTCCAGGTCATTAATGAAGATGATAAATCACAGTGGACCCAGAAAAGATACCCGTGGAACCCCACTCTAGACCTACTTTCAAGCTGACATCATCCCATTAATAGTTACCTGTTGTTTGTGGTTGTTTAACCAATTATGTCTCCACTTAATGGTAGTTCTGCTGAACCCGCATTTCTCCAGCTTACTTGTCAGAATGTCACATGGGACTGTGTTCAAAGCCTTGCTAAAGTCCAGGTATATTATGTCCACTGCATTCCCACATCCACCAAACCAGTTACCCTGTCAAAGAAGGAAATCAAGCTGGTTTGGCATGATTTGGTCTTAGTAAATCCATGCTGGCTGCTAGTGATCCCCCCCTTCATTCTCCAGGTATTCACAAATTGAATGTTTTATACATTGGTGTAGTAGCTTCCCAGGTATCAGGGTCAGGTTGACTGGTCTGTAGTTCTCGGGCTTCTCCCTTTTCCCCTTTTTCAAGATGTTAACCCTTCCCCAGTCTTCTGGAACCTCTCCTGTCATCCATGAATTCGAAAATATTATTGCCAGTGGCTCTGAGGTTTCTTCAACTAATTCCTTCAGCACCCTGGAGTGAATAGCATCAGGCCCTGCGGACTTTAATGTATTCAAATTAGTCAGAAGATCTCTGCTGTGTTCGTTACTTATCCTGATCTGCCTCCCTTTCTCTTCATAGTCTATGGTAACTTTCCTAGTCGTCTGGTCACATGTTATTTTTTGTGTGAAGGCTGAAGCAACGTAGACATTGAGCTGCTCTGCCTTCCTATCATCTTCCATGACCAGCCCACCTTCTCCATTGAGCAGCGGACCCACACCGTCCTCGACCTTTCTCTTTTGCCTGACATATTTGAGGAACCCCTTCTTGTTGTCGTTAACATTCCTTGCCAGCTGTAACTCATTCTTTGCCTGGTCTTTGCTGATTTTGCCCCTGCACACTCATGCTATTCCCATGTATACTTCCTTGGTGACGTGCTCTGTTTCCTCCCTAAAAGTGCAAAAGGGACCATTGTGAGCACCTGGTTTGACCTCCTGCATAGCACCAGCCAGAAGAGAGTGGGCCGGGCTGGGAGGCCTCTGCATACACAGTCCAAAATTGCCCCCCATGTTCCTCCCCCCACCCCCCAAACACTGAAAAACATGAATGCTACTTGCTGCTGGCTAGAACTGGCCTGTAATGATCTTAGGTTGGCTGCCTGACAACAATGATGAGTTATCGAAAGTAATGGTGCACCACGTTTAACAATCGTGTACAGCGCTCAGATCTTGTAATTCATTTCCTGATATCAGGGCCTTGTGATATTCATTCTAGAGCCGGTAAGCCAATGTAGTGCCTGTCAGAGCTTCTTGCAGGACTGAGACCCCAGCCTCAGTCACATGTGAGGTTCCCAGATGCGCGTGGATTGGTCACCCTGCCATAAGCAAATCAGCACCCCAGGCTGTGGTATAAGTTATAATAATCATTGTTTTATTTTTTAAAAATTACAATAGAAAAGTACCTTTAAACATATTTCAAAAAAGCAGAGTAGACAATGTGGAAGTTTCTTTCCTCTATTACCCAAAACAAATACAGAAAATCCGTTTTCTAAAGAACTAGTCTATTGGTTCGAATGCTTATACATTTCTGTTTAGATTTATTTCAACATTTGCCTTAGAATTTAATTTGTTCTCAAGTTCTCCTTGTCACTTTGTTTAAACAAAAGTAGAAGTGATGTTTTTCTTTCAACTTTCAACTACCGTTGTGGTCTTCGGACTGAGGAATTCTCAACATCTGCATTTCCACAAAGAACAATTGTGTTGTCATCATAAAAACACTGACATCACTACGTGTTCAGCACAGTGTGAACAAAACTAGGGGGGAAACTTGTGAGCACACTTTCACCACACTTGTCAACAATCAGGGCCTCGACCCAATCAGTGCAGTCTGCAGCACAGCATTCCTTACGGGCGTGTGGGTGGAGAGAGAGAGTCGTCTGTAGGGGGAAGGAGTTGTCAATCCTTTTACAAGAAAACAAAGACTCATTTTTATATTCTATTCCTGTGCAGAGTGAAAAGCAATCGGGGAAAAGGAATGTACTGTGAAAATAAGCTTCTTGTTGCTGGTACAGTATTCTCAGTAAACATTACAAATATTGCTTCAAGACAATGACTGGAGTAAAGAACAGGGTTAGCAGAAAATGCCAACGCTTCCCTTTTTGGCTTCATTTTTGCATTGAAAATACCAGTATATTACCGAGCAAGGAGCTGGACAGGCATCAACTATTCATTAAGGCCCAAATTCAACAAAGCACTTAAGTGTAACTGTGAGCATGTGTTTAAGTCCCATGCACTTCAACTAGACTTAAGCATGTTCTTGAGTGTGTTGCTGAATTGGGGTCAATTTTTCCCCAGTACAGCTGTTTACATTGCCAATAAAAATTTCAAGCAGTTACTGGAACCAGCCCTTCCTGCCCCTGGAAAGAAAGATGTGACCCAGCAAATGTATCTGTACATGAAGAAAGCACAGGGAGAGCTCTCATCAATAACAGTCTCAACTTGCTCCATGCATGGCTTTTTCCTGCACAGCTCTCTGCTAGACTAAAGCCTCACACTGCAAGCTGTAACTGTAGCCCAAAGGTAGAAAAATTATACTAAGTTGTTTTCTGATTGTCCTGCCTGATAGAATATGGTACACTGGGGAATAAAACCCGAATACTGTAAATATACTCAGATCTGTAGTTCAGCACATTTTAACTCCGCCCAGGCTGAGCACAATACCTATAAACCTAACAATACAATTATTTAATTCTGAACAAGATTTAAAAACGTCTTCAACATGCAGCTTACAAAAAAGAAAAACAAGAGAGAATCTTAATTGCACGCATTCAAAAGTCAAGCACAAAACTGGTGATCTAACCCGGTGTAAGATCATTATACGCACAATGTCTGGTATAAAAATACTTGCTCTCTTTTTGCTTTTATAGTTTGCTTTTTTATGTTTTTTGTTTGAAAATACTTTTCAAACTATACAGCAATGACTGTCCGACCGTGCTTTCACAAGTAACACTCTTCCTTACAATAATACAGTGTAAAAAAGGAAAACATCATTAGTTTGTATGTTTTTTTTCTTCTACGAGAGCAGATGTGTGATAGAGGCTGTGGCAAAGTCTTGAAGGAATCAAAACTTGTGTGAGGTTTTTCAAGCCTGCAACAATGGAGAGGAACAGGAGTTAGAAAGGCATTTGAAATCCTGGAATGGGGGAGATTAAAAGTAACTGGATTTGAAGGAAGCTTTAGATGCATTCACATGCAGAAGTATGTGTCTGGAGAGTTGTCAAACACATCTAATAAATGAGCTCTCTGGGCACCTGCAACAGGGAGAGTTTTTTTTAAATGGGTGTATGTGTGTATCTACAGGGGCTAGAAGGGTGGTGGAGAGGGAAATCATTACCACATAATAGACACATAGATTTTAAGGCCAGAAGGAACCATCAGAACAATATAGTGGCCCCAAGGGGTCAGCCCAATGGTCCACCTAGCCCAGTATCCTGTCTTCTGATAGTGGCCAGGTGCTTCCGAGGGAATGAACAGAACAGGGCAATTACTGAGTGATCCATCCCCTGCCATCCAGAGCATAGGGTTGTGCCCCACACCATCTTATGGACCGATCCTCCATGAATTTATGTAATTCTTTTTTTAACCCAATTATACTTTTGGCTTTCACAACATCCCTTGGCAATGAGTTCCACAGGTTGGCTGTGCATTGTGTGAAGAAGTACTTCCTTTTGTTTGTTTTAAACTAGCTGTCTATTAAATTCATTGTGTGGCCCCTGGTTCTTGTTCCTTTCCTAATGGTTCCTCACATTATGTTAGCTTTTTTGACTGCCTCTGCAAATTGAGCAGATGTTTTCAGAGAACTAGTCACAGTGACTCCAATATCTCTTTCTTGAGTGGTAACAGCTAGTTTAGACCCCATCATTCTGTATGTATAGTTTAGATTATACTTTCCAATGTGCATTATGTTGCAGTTATCCACATTGCATTTCATCTGGCGTTTTGTTGCCCAGTCACCCAGTTTTGTAAGATGCTTTTGTAACTGTTCGCAGTCCTGGCTTTGGACTTAAATATCTTGAGTAGTTTTATATCATCTGCAAATTTTGCCACCTCATTGTTTACCCCCTTTTCCAGATCATTTATGAGTATGTTGAACAGCACAGGTCCCAGTACAGATCCTTTTGGGATCCCACTCATTCCCCCTCTCCACAGTGAGAACTAACCATTTCTTCCTACCCTTTGTTTCCTGTCTTTTAACCAGTTACTGATCCATGAGAGGACTTTCCCTCTTATCCCATGACTCCTTATTTTGCTTAAGAGCCTTTGGTGAGGAACATTGGCAAAGGCTTTCTGAAAGTCCAAGTTCAATATATCCACTGGATCCCCCTTGTCCATGTGCTTGTTGATCCCCTCAAAGAATTCTAATAGATTGGTGAGGCATGATTTCCCTTTACAAAAGCTGTATTGACTCTTCCCCCACAAATTGTGTTCATCTATGTGTCTGATAAGTCTGTTCTTTACTATAATTTCAACCAATTTGCCAGGTACTGAAGTTAGGCTTACGAGACTATTATTGCCAGGATCTTCTCCTGGAGCCTTTTTAAAAAACTGGCGTTATGTTACATACCCTCCAGTTGTCTGGTAGAGAGGCAGATTTAAGCGATAGGTTACATACCACACTTAGGAGTTCTGCCGTCTCACATTTGTGTTCCTTCAGAACTCGTGGGTGAATGGCATCTGGTGCTGGTGACTTATTACTGTTTAATGTATTGATTTGTTTCAAAACTTCCTCTACTGTCACCTCAGTGTGGGACAGTTTCTCAGTTTTGTCACCTAAACAGAATGGCTCAGGTGTGAGACGCTCCTTCACATCCTCTGCAGTATTCATTTAGCATCTTAGCAATGGACTTGTCTTCCTTGAGTGCTTCTTTGGCGCCTTGTTTGTCCAGTGGTCCCTAATAACTGTTTGGCCGGCTTCCTGCTTCTCATGTGCTTTAAAAAAATTGCTGGTAGTTTGTGTGTCTTTTGCTAGTTGCTCTTCAAATTCTTTTTTGCCCTGCCTAATTACACTTCTATACTTGACTTACCAGAGTTTATGTTCCTGCTATTTTTCTCAAGATGCCTTTCTATTTTAAAGGATGCCTTTTTGTCTCTAACTTCCTCTTTTAGTCTGTTGTTTAGCCAGGGTAGCATTTTTTTTGGTCCGCTCACTGTTTTTTTTAATTTGGGGCAGACATTTAGTGTGTGCCACTATTGTGGTATTTTTAAAAAGTTTCCATGCAGGTTGCAGGCATTTCACTCTTGCGACCGTTCCTTTTAATTTCCATTTAACTAGCTTCCTCCTTTTTGTGTAGTTCCCCTTTTTGAAGTTAAATGCTGCTGCGGTGGCCGCCTTTGGTATTTTCTCTCCCACAAGGATGTTAAACTTAATTACACTATGGTTACTAATAACAAGCGGTTCAGGCATATTCACCCTTCTGGGGGAGGTCTAGATTGGATATTAGGAAAAACTGTTTCACTAGGAGGGTGGTGAAGCACTGGAATGGGTTACCTAGGGAGGTGGTGGAATCTCCTTCCTTAGAGGTTTTTAAGGTCAGGCTTGACAAAGCCCTGGCTGGGATGATTTAGTGGGGAATTGTTCCTGCTTTGAGCAGAGGGTTGATGACCTCCTGAGGTCCCTTCCAACCCTGATCTTCTATGAGTCTATGATTCACCTCTTGGACCAGACCCTGTGTGCCACTTAGGACTAAATCAAGAACTGCCTCTCCCCTTTTGGGTTCCAGGACTAGCTGCTCCAAGACACAGTCATTACCGGTGTCTAGAAAATGTATTTCTGCATCCTGTCCTGCAGTGACACATACCCAGTCAATATGGGGGTAGTTGAAATCACCCAGTGTTACTAAGATTTCTATTTTTTTAGACTCTCTAATCTCCCTGATCATTTCAGATTCCGTCACCCTCCTGGTCAGGTGGTCAGTAGTATTTTCCTACTGCTGTATTCTTGTTATTCAAACATGGAATTTCTATCCATAGAGATTCCTTGGTACAGTTTAATCCATTTAAGATATTTACTGTATTTGACACTATTCTTTCTTTCCCATATAGTACAACTCTCCCACCTGCACGACCTACTCTCATCGCTGAGTATTTTGTACTCTGGTATTACTGTGTTCCCACTGATTATCATCATTCCACCAAGTTTCTGTGATGCCTATAATAATAATAATAATCTCATTTAGTACCAGGCACTCAAGTTCACCCATCTTAGTATATAGATTTCTAGCATGTATATACAAGCACTTATAAAACGTGTCACTGTTTAGTTGTCATGTGATGTAATTGAATAGGATTTCTTTTTCAAATGACTGTTTCTCTTCAGTGGCTTCTGGGACTTTATCAACTTCTATCCTCTCTGCTTTATTAGGCTATAGAGAATCCCCGTTAATAGATCCTCCCTTAAGGGATCTCTCTGTTTGAACTTTGTGCTCCTCTCCCCCAGGCCCTAGTTTAAAATGTCCTGTACCACCTTTTAAATTTTACATGCCAGCAGTCTGGTTCTATTTTGATTTAGGTGACGCCCATCCTTCCTGTACAGCTGCAAAGTGCTTTGCATGGCAGACAGGTGACGGCCCAGCATGTGGGCTAATGAATGTATTCTTCTCTACGTGCCCCTGCGACTGCATCTGTGCCATTTGCCACACAGACGCAGGAGCAGGGTGAAGTGCCAGTCCCATGATTCACTGCACTGGACACTGCATCCTCACTCAGGTCTGAGACAATAATTCTCCCACGTTATGACTGTACGCCCCACTGCAGCTTAGGGGGTGAAGAAGCTGATCCTGCTCATTTGCTGCCAGGAGGGTTTCATCCCCAAAGCAGTGTGCGGTTTGACGGTTGCCTCTAACTTACCAGCACACTGTAGTTTTGCAGGAGGGCATGAGAAACCAGTAGCCACCTTCAAAGGCTCCATTAATACCCACAAGACTGATTGTAGCCACCATCACACACCTGATACCTGTGACAGAAAAAAGACAGGTACAGTCAGAAACTCCACAGGAACCATGTGCGTTTCTGAATTGACACTGAGGTCTGGAAATCCAAGAGGAGGAGTACCAAATAACAGAGAACTTGTTGCCATTCATGCAACACTGACTGTTTCCAAGTTGTCAATAATGGAGGTGATCACGTCTGTTTCAGAGGAGCAAAGGGCTGGGTGCACAGCCCCAGGAAAGGGTGAAGTTGCTGGAAGTGGCCTCATGCCTTCATGGATGACCTGGGAGGTTGCTGTGATAGCAATGTCAGGCATTTGGCCTCACATCCTGCTGAAGAGGTTTGTGGGGGACTGAGGACTGTGCGTGAAAGCAGCTAGAGCTACAGTTCTCTTTGCTGCTTGTGCAGTTACAGCTGCATTACTTTTATGCTTCATAAACTCCCTGTTCAGTTCCTAACTCTCCACTGGACTTCCTTAACTGGTGGATTAAACACAGCAAACATCTGCATTGGGGAAGGTTGGGAGATAGGAGGTAGGGGTGTCCGCCTCCGTGTCTGGCCTTTGGATGCTACAGGCCTGGTTGGGATTACTGGAGACTGCTCATTCCAAAGTACAAGAGACAGGTGTTCAAGATAACACGGGCATGTTGACTTTTTAACAAAAACTGACTAATGTAATTAAAAAAAAAAATCAAGTTTTAAGTAGAGCATCTTTAACGAGAATGTCCAGTATTACAACCCTCATGATTTTCTGTCCCCTGCCGCTATTTTTAAGAGTCTCTTCAGCAGGGAGTGTGAGTGGGCCTGACAGACACCCCAAATGTGCTCAGGCTTGCTCATAGATCTGCAGATTCCAAGGCTAGAAGGGCCATTGTGATCATCTAGTCTGACCTCCTGGAAAACATGGACCACAGACTGTCCTAGAGCAGATCCAAATAATTCCCAGAGCAGATCTGTTAGAAAAACATCCCATCTTCGTTTAAAATTGCCAGTGATGGAGAATCCACCACAACCTTGGTAAACTGTTAAAATGGTTAATTACCCTTGCTATTAAAAATTTACACCTTATTTCCAGTCTAAATTTGCCAAGCTTCAACTTCCAGCCATTGGATCATGTTATATCTTTCTCTGATAGACTTGAGGAGCCCATTATTAAATATTTGTTCCCCATGTAAATACCTATAGACTGTGATCAAGTCACCCCTTCACCTTCTCTTTGTTAAAATAAATAGATTGAGCTCTGTGAATCAAGGTATGTTTTCTGATCCTTTAATTATTCTTGCAACTCTTCTCTGGCCCTTCTCAGATTTATCAACATCCTTCTTGAACTGTGGGCACCAGAACCTTACACAGTATCCAGCAGCGGTCAGACTAGTGCCAAATACAGAGGTAAAATAACCTCTCTACCTCTACTTGAGATTCCTTTGTATACGTATCCCAAGATCACACGAGCTTTTTTGGCCACAGTGTCACACTGAGAGCTGATGTTTAGCTGATTGTCCCCCATGCTCCTCAAATCTTTGTCCGAGTCCCTGCTCCCCAGCATAGAGTCCCCCATCCTGTAAGTATGGCCCCCATTCTTTGTTCCTAGATGTGAACATTTAGATTTAGCCATATAAAATGCATATTGTTTGCTTGCACCCAGTTTACCAAGCGATCTAGATCATTCTGATTCCGTGCCCTGACCTCTTTGTTTTTAACCAATCCTCCAATTTATGTGTTGCCTGCAAACTTTATCAGTGATGATTTTATGTTTTCTTCCAGGTCATTGATAAAAATGTTAAAAAGTATAGGGCCAAGAACTGATCCCTGCAGCACCTCACAAGAAACACACCCACTTGATGATGATTCACTGTTTACAATTACATTTTGAGGCCTATCAACCAGGTTTTAATCCCTTTAATGTGAGCCACATTAAGTTTATATTCTAGCTTTTTAATCAAAATGTCCTGCTATATCAAGTGAAAAGCCTTACTTCTGTCTAAGAAGATTAATCAACACTATTATCTTAATCAAACAAATTTGTAATCTCAACAAAAAAAGATATCCATCAGTTTGACAGGATCTAGTTTCCTTACATCCTTATTGATTGGCATTAATTATATTACCCTCCTTTAATTTGTTATTAATGATAATAGTAATTATCACATGATTTGACTGTCTGTTTTTCCCAAATACAAAACAGAAATATTTATTGAACTTCTGCTTTTTATGCATTTTTATTGATAATTCTGTTTTGATCTAGTAATAGACTAGAATTCTTTTTGTTCCTAATATACTTAAAAACCTCCGCCTTATTGTCCTTAATTCTGCTGGCCATGATTCCTTTTTGGGTCCCTTTGCTTCCCTTATCATTTTTTTACAATTCCTAGTTTCTGCTTTATATTCATTACTATCAGCTTCCCCTTCCTTCCATTGTTATGTATTTTTATTTTTTACAGCTGCCTTCACTTCCCCTCTAAACCAGGTCAGTTCTTTAACCAATATCATTTTCTTCCTCTACTGTGGGATTGTGACTTTTTGGGCATGTAGTTTGGGCTTGTCTGCACATTTCCCCTTTCCCTTCCTGTCTGTGCACACACCGGCCGGCCACGCCCGCAGTTTTAACTCTACCGCTGCGCAGTGTAGGGGAGTGATGCCAGCATGCTAGCGCTCCCAGCATCACCAGTCTCGGGTTTACCAGTCCCAACACCCTGACCCCAGGAGCCAATCATCACATACTAGATGTGCAACATACTAGAGCAGTAACTAAAATGTGTCACTGGGCAGAACAAATCAAACAGAGCAGTAAGCCCAGCTGCCGCAGATCCCTGCCCAGAACTGTCGCGGTCCCAGGACTTTACCAAAGTGACGTGCAAAGCTCAGGCAGCTGCTCCCCAGAAACAGTCAGTGACCACACAATTGAGGTGCAAATCAGGAGGCACCCGGCGCAGTCTGAGCCAGGGAGGAGCGACAGTGACCCTGTGTGCCTGGGACACAGAGGCACATCCCACTCCCCTGTTCCCACTTGGAAGGAGTGCCAGAGAGAGACAAGTGGAGCTGCCCAAGTCGTTGTCTCCCTGGCGGGCTGCTCTTGGGGCAGTGCAGCGAGAAGCACGAGACAGACTGCACTAGGCCTGACTCTCGACTGGGCAGTCCGAACATTTACTGCTACTGCTCACTTTGAACTGTCAGTGTCGCCCCTGTACCTAGGGCATCTGCAGCCTTCTCCTTTTCTGCCAGCCCTAATAAACACCCTCTCCCGTAGCCCTACGAGCGGTTAGTGGGATCCACCAGGGCTAGCGCCTACAAGGCCCAGCTGCTGAAGCACCTACAAGGCTGGCCTCTGAGTTGCAGTCCACCCAGCATGCTACGGGCACCGTAGGGGTTTGGCGTGCCTGGCCCTGAGCAGCCCCAATAATGACAGCATGACTGAGCCTGTAATGAATTAGGCTGTCTCTGCTGCAGGGGGAACATTGCCCCGCCTCGCAGACTTTCAGGGATTCCTACAGGGTCGCACAGAAAGTCTGGAAAAGAGCTGGGAGCAGAACGCCGCTCTCCCCGCAGAACTCTGATGGAGACAGGACCCCGTCCTGCCGAGAACCTCGCGGGGGGAGCCATTCTCCTGCCCGAGCGCCGCGCCCACTCTGTTCTGGAGAGAAATGTGGGTGTCTCGTTTCAGACGACAAGCTGCGCGGATCCCCTGGTGCTGGGGGGGCCCTTACAGCGAGGTGCAGGGGCTGCTCTTTTCTGGGCCAGGTCGTGTGGCTGCAGCAGCCAGAGCGCCGCGAGGGAACTAATAATACACTATGCCCAAATATGGCGTTGTGTACGTCTCCATTAGTGATGTTGGAGCAATCCTTATTTTGGAAAAATAGCTGTTCCCCAAACATTCAAACCAGATTCTTCATGCATCGCTTTCTAATACGCAGGCATGGAAATAGCCACTGGACATCATGTCCTTTCCTAAAAAGACAGGACCAAGATGTGGAGGCTTAAAGGCAACAGCCATAAATTAAGGTATCAGCTAAGAGACATGGTCCTTTTCCAAGTGTGGCTATTTCCAGCAAGGCTGGTTTTGATCTGTTCTGGGGCCTCAAGCTAGCTGTGAGGGCCTGGGAAGAGTCAAGCTAACCATGTGGATGGGTGGGGGCTTGCGTGGGATTGGTGGCTTGGAGTGGGGAGCACTCCCTCAAACAGTAAGCAACCCCCTTTCGCAGCACCTCCCCAGCCAGCTGTTCTGCAGTCTGTCCAGCTGGGGAGCTTTGATTTCTCACTGGTGGGAATTTTTCTTGTCGTCATCTTATAAGGTGTTAGTGGGGTGGGAGGCAGGGGAATGGGACTCTGACCTGGTTACTGTTAGCGAGTGGGTGAGACTGGGACAGAGGAACAGGCTCCTCCCGTTTGGCTCTTGTTTCTATGGGGTGGGCTGGGAGGGTTTTTTGGAAGGGGCAGATGGACGATGGGGCGGGGTAGGCGGGTCTGGAGCAATTTGGTTAAAAAGCACCTCGCAAGATGCGCCGTTGGGATTTTGGCTGTCTGTCCGTCTGTCCCCACTATGGCTGTCTAGGCTGGCTGGCTTGTAAGCGCTTCGGGGCACAGACTGCTTCTTAGTCTGTGTTGTGCAGGGCCCGGCCCAATGGGAGGGGCGCGATGCTGCGTTGTGGTCACACTGGGGTTGAGTCAGGAGGGGACTCACGAGTCCACTGTATTGTAACTGCCTTGGATTGCTCCTGCGTCGTACGCTGCTGGGAGGGGAATGAAACCTATGTTCTCTTTCCCCAGGGTCTGGGGGATTAGCACCCAGGAACAAAAGGCCAACCTGAAATGGTGCTGATGGCTCTAAATACTGAACTGGATGGGCAAGAAGTGGCTTGTTGCCCATTGCAAGAGGGCTATCTGCTCCTTTAATAGCCCAAAGGGAGAGGGCTGGGGAGAGCTGACCCTGCCCTAGCATGAAGCCCAGCAGACAGATGCTGGGAAGCAGCTGACCAGCACCACATGATTGGTCCCCACTCTCAGCTGGCCAATATAAAGGGGGAAAAC